CTGGGGCAGGTGTCCCTGCAGGCGGCCTTGCCCTGTGGAGGATCTGGTAGGGGCTCTGTGAGTTAGTGGGGTGTCAGTGTGCTCCCCCCATAGCACCTTCTGACCAGAGCAGCCTGCTCTCTCCACGGTGGGAGAGGCCAGAGGCTCCGAAAATGCCATTTCTGATGACCAAGAAGCTTGGGGTCAGGATATCCAACTGGCCAAGGTTACACTCTCAGGTCAACTTTTGAACCTGGAACTGTGTAATCTCAGGAAAGTCGCCCTGCAGCGTATGGCCCTCAGCTGAAGTGCTGGGGGTCGTGTCCCCTTGGGTCCCAGTGACGGCACAGTAGAGCAGCTGCCAGTGCTGAGGCACCCAGGGAGCCCACCTTCCTTATTTCCTCCCACAGAAGGCTACTGAGCACGGCCATGGGACGGGTTCCAGCTAGACAGGAAGACGTGAAGGCAGGTGGCCAGCCACTTCTGGCCTCGTGGGTCAGCAGTCTAGCGATTAACCCAGGGGGGCTTCCTAGGGGTAGTGACACCCGGGCTGGACTTGGAAATCCTGATTTCCTCGGTTGAGTTCCTTCTTGCTGAATCTGTTTCACTATGTGAAAAGTAAAGGGTTTGCTCAAGTCAGTGGTTCTTTAACTTGAGCGGCAAAGAGGACCCACCCCAGGGTTCTGACACAGTGGGGCCTGAGACTGTGCATTCTAACGTGGGCTGAGGGGAGTGTTCTGTGAGTCTGAACCCAACCTGACACGAGGGCAGCACGGAGCCTGGGGGCCACAGACGTTGCAATCCAGGCCTGTCCCCGGGGACTTCCCTTGAGCGCTTGCCCTCCTTGCAAAGGATTTTCTGAGAATCCAAAGGCGACCTCCAGGTGTTTGGCAGAGAAGCCAGCGTCGTTTGGGCCAGGCCCCTTTTGCCCTGGTGTGAGGGCCAGCTGATGTGCTGGGTGGGAGTTGGCTCTCCTTGTAAAGCCCTTGGAGGGGCCCCTCATGGCTGCTGTTTGCTCCGCCCAGTGGGGAGACTTGTGGCCAGAAGGGCTCAGAGACCAACCCTGGTCTGGGCAAGAGAGCAGGCCAGGGCTGGTTGGAGGCGTCATCAACGGCAAGCTCAGCTCTGGGGGCTCTTTCTGCCCCCTGAGGTGTGGGGAGCAGCCCCGGCTCGGAGAGGGAGGCCAGCGCGGCGGCCTGGGGAGCTAGGGGTGGGGCAGCGGCGCCTGCCTGCCAGTGACCAGAGAGGGTGACACCTGGCCACGGTCCCCGCCAAGGCAGGAAGGGCCAACTCCCCGGACTTCAGCCTCCCTGCCCTCCAAGGGTGGGACTAGCCCAGCAGGCGGGGCAGGCCACCCCTGGCCAGCAGGAGGGGGAGTGCACCCACGGCACTAGCTTCTGAGGCCTCGGGCCGGCAGGTGTGCGTCACGCTGATGCCTCAGAGCCCCCTTCAGACGCGGCCAGCTGCCCCGGGCAGTGAGGAAACTGAGGCCCAGAGGGCTGCAGACTCTCCCGGCCTCATGAGAGCCTGCAGCAAAGCCCGGCTGCAGTGCGAGGTGGGGACCCTCAGCCTCCATCACACTGAGCCCCCAGACTGCTGCCCAGCATCTGTGTCTAACAGGCATTTCAAATCCACGTGTCCAAAAGCAAGTTCCAGGTCTGTCCCCAAACCCCACCCTCCGAGCCCTTCCCCATGCTGGTCAGTCTCTCAGGCGGAAGACCGTTCTCCACAGCGTCCAGAGTTGACCCTCCTCCCCTCCTCCTCTGCCATCACTTGACCTGAGCAATGTCTCCCAGGGTTTTGTCATGGCAAAACCCACTGATTGGTTTTTAGATCTCTCCCTTGCTGGGTCTCCACACGGCGGCCACGGTGACCTTCACCCTGAGTCAGGTCACTCTTTTGTCCGGAGTCCCGACGCCTCCTGTCTCACATGCTGCACCCTGGGCCCCCAGGTGTGTATTGTCTGGCCAGACCACTCCCCTGCTGATCACCTTCCCCTACACTGGCCTCAGGACCTTGGCACCTGCTGTCCTTTTTGCCTCGAACCTCCCTCCTTTATCCCAGGAAGCTGCACAGCTAACACCATCAGTCTGTCTCAGGGCCCCTCCCCGAGGCCGCCTTGATCACCCCCCGCACACTCAGTGTTCTCCTCCTGGTGCTGTTTTTCTCCATAGTTTCTCTTCTCCCACTGGGATGGAACCCCAGGAGGCAGGGCCTTCTGTGTCCAGATGCCTGGAATGAGGCCTGGTATGCACAGAACAGGTGCTGAAGAAACATTTATCAGACACATTGATCAGCGGCTTCGGGGCCACTGAGGAGCCTGCCCGCCCGCCTGTGCTGACATCTAATGACCCCACTCCCAGCCCTGCCGGGGCTCAGGCTCTGCACCTGCACGCAGGCTGCAGGCAGCCTGGGAGGAGGGCCTGGCGGAGGTGCCTTTGATGCCTCACGGCCTCATTCTTTTCTCCCAGGAAACTATGCCCCAGACGTCCGTGGTCTTCTCCAGCATCCTCGGGCCCAGCTGTAGTGGACAGGTGCAGCCCGGCATGGGGGAGCGAGGAGGTGGGGTCGGCAGCTCCGGGGACCTCGTCTTCCAAGACGGACGTCTCATCTCCGGGTCCCTGGAGGCCCTGATGGAGCACTTGGTCCCCACAGTGGACTATTACCCCGATGTGAGTGCCCCGTGACTGGTGGGATCGACCTGGGCTCCCGGGGAGGCTGCTGCTGGGATGGAGAGGGAGGTCCCCCATCAGTCAGAGCTGGACGGAGAGGCAGGGGAGGCGCAGGGCAGCAGGGAGCCCCGGCCCTACCTCCTGTGCTTTCCTGCTCCCTGCCACCCTGGCCCGCAGCCTAGGAGAGGGGAGCCGGCAGCGACTTCCCTGCTGTCCCCAGGCAGGTAGGAGGTGGCCCTGGAGGAGCAGGAGGGGTCTAAGGGGCAAGGCCAGTGCTTCAGGGTCCTGGTGAGGGTCCACCCATCAGTGTCCTGTCTCTGAGCTGGAAAGTTTGTTTTGTGCATGAACCGCAGTGGCTCAGAATGAAAAGGGTCGGCCCCTCCGTGCCCACCTGGGCACATGCGTGTGCGGGCAGGACGGGCCTTTGCCAACCCGTATCCTCCCTCTTCATCTCAAGGTGACATTGGCGCGTTCTCGGAAGAGCGAGAAAGAGTTCCCTTGTCACGTGTGGCTTCCCTTCTGCCTCCAGTAGATGACGTCTCATAGTGGCAGTGGGGCTGTTACCTGCTCCCCTATGGGTGCCCCCTCCCTCCTGAGGGCAGGGCCCTGCGCATGGCCTCCGGGCGACAGATGGGGCTGCGAGGGAGGGTGGGGAGGAATTGCCCCCTCTGCCCTCCAGCTGGGTTTCCGGGGCTCCTGGCTGCCCCCCCCCCCCCCCCCCCCACCGCCAGACATATCAGGCCTCCTCCCTCCCTCCTGGGGCTCTGTCCACTCCTCTGTCTGTCCTTCCATCCACCCCGGAAATCCTCTCAGGGCCTGGCTGGGGCTGGTGGTGCCGATGTGGCAGCTGAGGGCCAGGCGGCAGAGCTGGGGACAGGGGACCCCAGGCCCTGAAGACATCTGGAACAGGGCCGCGGTCCCCCAGGGGCTGGGACCTCCAACCCCAGTGCTGGTCTGTGTGACAGTGGCCTTGTGTGGCGGGGGGAGGGGCCTCCCCTCCTTCAGGCCTGTCCCTGGGGAGCCTCAGCCAGCTTACCCAGTGTTGTCCCCAGAGTACTGTGCCCTGGGGTCCCAGCCTGCTTCCCAGGAGAGAGCCAAGGGGCGGTGGAGGTCGAACGGGGGTCCAGCTAGGCATCAGCCCGGCTGCCGAGCACCTGGGCTCCCCGCCTTTCCCTCACGGCCCGTGCCCTGCAGACGTGGGGAGCTGGGGACACGGCGCTCCATCTGTCTCCCTGCTCCTCCCCAGAGCCACGCAGCTCCTGCCTTGGGCTCTCCTCTGCCCCTGGCTGAGAGCTCCAAGGTGTAACAGGTGAAGCCTTCCTTCACGCTCTGAGCCTTCTGCTCAGGAGGGGCCCCTGAAGGTCCCACCACTGACGGGCCGGGCCCCTGGAGCACCCGTGCTGCACAGCCCAGGGACACCCTGCTGCTCCAGGGAGAGCCTCCCCAGCGGCCTCTGAGGGCTGCATCGGGGCAGGGAGGGCCTGAGGGCCGAGTCCCGATCTGGGAGCCTGCGTTAGGCTGGAGCACAGAAGACCTGCTCCTTTGGGCCTGGAGTGGAGGCCGAGAGTCCTGGGCCCCCCGCCTGCAGCAGCCATGTGGCAGTAGATCACTGTCTGAGTCGAGTCCCCGGGAGACCCCAGGCATCCTCCCCGCCCCCAAGTCCGCCCTGTCTGCAGGCAGGGGCCTGGTAAATCCCACGTCAGCCAAAAGCTTCCAAGAGCCCTGGGCTCTGCTCCCTGCCGCCTTTCAGCCGGGACCAGGTGCACCCCTCAGCCTGCACCGCTACCAGGTGACGAGGACGTGCGGCCTTGGGACTGCGGGGCCCTGGTGTGGCAGGTGGGGACGGGGCCCACAGCTGGCTAGTGACCACACAGCGGCTTGCAGCAGCTTCCGATGTGGGGTCCTGGGGCCAAGGAGGCCCCCACCGCCCCCCAGCCAGGCCCTGCCCCACTGAGCAGTGAGGATCTGTCACAGAGCAGGCTGGGCGCCTGGCCCGGGGAGCACCGTGGGCCAGGCCACAGGTCCACACAGGCCCGGAGACACCGCCAACATCCAGGTCCGGGTTTAGCTCCCGGCGTGGGGTAGGGGAGCATCCCAGCTGAGTAAAACCACTGGGACCGAGCTTGCCAGGGATACCTCTGAGAGCTGCTGCAAAGTGGGGTTTGATCTGTGCCTTGCACGGTGGGCAGGATTTGGGAGCAGTGAGGAAGGGCATTCGAGGTGAGGCAACCACGCAGAAGGTGACGCTGGGCCCGGGAGGCGGGGACCAGGCAGAGGAGCAGGCCGCGGCTATACCTGGGGGCCATGCCGGGCCCGACTCACTCTTCACCCTCTGTCTCTTTCCTTCAGAGGACGTACATCTTCACGTTTCTCTTGAGCTCCCGGGTCTTCATCCCCCCTCATGACCTGCTGGCCCGCGTGGGGCAGATCTGCCTGGAGCAGAGGCAGCAGCTGGAGGCCGGATCTGATAAGGTAAAGGCGAGCCCCCGGGCTGCTGCCCGTCTCCGTGCCCCTGGCTTCCCCGCTCGCTCACGCTTGGGAGAGAATGCTGCTCAGGACGGGGCCTGGCTGAGCCCGACCCGGGCCCCTCCCTGCTGGGGGCAGGTCTGCTTGTCTGGCCTCCTGACATCCCTGGAGCAGGCCTCCCGGGGGTCTGCAGGGGCACCCACCTCCCAGGGCGCTGGATGGAACTGTGGCCAGAGGAGGAGGGGGGCGGCTGCTGGACTGGCCCCCTGGGCCCGCCCGGGTCTCCCAGGATGCCCCCACCCGGCCCTCCAGGGCTCCCCGGCAGCATGCAACACCCTGCATGCTGTGAGCCAGCGGGTGCTCACACCCCCTCCCGGGGAAGGGCCACAGCAGACAGTCCTGCCGGCTCTCCTGCTCAGTGCCAGACACCCCGGAAGGGAGGGTCCGGCTCCAGCTGGTGGAGAAGCAGCCTGGGTCACTGCTCCCTCCAAAGGGGGTGGCGGGCAGCACCCTCAGGCTAGAGTTTTCAGAGACTCAAATAGGGCTGTTTTTCACTGTCATGTCTTCTGATTGAGTCGGGCTTTGGGCAGTCAAGATGGGTAAGAAACCACAGCTCATCCCTGAGGCCCTGGGGCAGGCCCAGGGTCTGGTGTGGAAGCAGGGCTGGTGGGCGTACTGTCAAGGCGCTGGCAGGGCCTGTTCCGGATGACCTTCCCCTCTACCAGGCTGGATCTCCTGCCTCTGGAGGTTTGCAGCAAAGGCCTGTGACATCTGCGCCCTCTTCAGTCTCCTCTCCAGAGGGGCGCGTCCCCGGGTGTGCTGGGCAGGGACAGAGACAGGCACCCATTGCAGCCCGGGGATCAGGAAAGGCTCCTGAAGGCGTGGGTGGGGAGAAGCCAGAACAGGGTGAGTGGGAGATGAAATTCTAGGCTGAGGGTCAGCAGGGGGACAGTAGAAGCCTGAGAGGAGCTTGGGGTGAGCCCTCCCGCCTTCGTCTGTGATGACAGGCAGGGCGGGGCCTCTGAGAAGGGAATGCAGGGCTGTAGTTCCTGCTGAGTGCGGGGTGCAGCGGGCACCTGGGGGGAGTGTCAGCTGGGTGGAGGCAGCGGAGCAGAGGTGGGTGGAGGGGGGCAGGTAGGTGTAGGTGTGGGGAGTTGGGTCATGAAGGAGCTGGGCCCCGAGGGTAGTCAGGGCTGGAACGGTCCAGGGTGGCCAGGCAGGCACGGGGATCTGGTCAGGGCCAGGCAGGAGCCAAAGCGGGCATAGGAATGGTTTAGCGTACGTGAGCCAGCGCGGGGCTGGGCCTGGAGGACTGGCCGGGAGAGCACGGCCGGGCATCCCGCACCCCCTCCTTGGACTGTATGTGTGTGTGGACCTGGGCCAGTGGGAACTGGGGAGAGGATGCCTGGTGTGTCTGTGGCCCTTCCCAGCACTTGCCAACCTGCTTTTTACCGAGAGAAGGTGGCTGGGGTCTCTTGCTTAACGTTAATGATTTTGCTTGGTTTTCATCGTGTCCTTTTTTATGGGTAACTTCTAATTACAGCAAATGAAACTAATTTTCTGTGTCACGGTAGCAATAGGACAGGTTCTTTGAAAATGAATTTAAGTGAAAAAGAGAGCTGGCTTATGGGGAATGTGAAGCAACGCAGGAATGACAAAACCGCAGGTGGACAGGGTGAAGGATGTCCCTACCCAGCAGCCCTCACCCCAGCGTCGGGGCAGAGAACACAGGTCCTGTGGGGGAATGGGTCAGAGGTGCTGCAGAACTGGGGGTACTTGTACCGCTTGTCATCTTGTTGCCCACTCTGGAGGGTCAGGCCTTGCTTTATCCCCCGAACCCCCCACCCTCCCCAGGCCAGGCTGAAGTCCTTCTCAGCCAAGATCGTGCAGCTACTGAAGGAGTGGACAGAGGCCTTCCCCTACGACTTCCAGGACGAGAAGGCCATGGCCGAACTGAAAGCCATCACCCACCGGGTCACACAGTGTGACGAGGTGAGGTCCTCCTCGGAGCCTGGCAGAGTTCCTTGTCTGAGGGAGGGGTGGGTCTTCAGGGACAGCTCTGTATGTGGTCCCCTTTGCTGTCACTCTCCCAAGAGGACTGCTGGGTGGCTCCATTTGCCCCTCAGCCCCATGAGGGCCGCTCAGCTGGCCAGCAACCGGCCAGTTGCCCTTGGCATCCTGCACACGCGGGAGACCCTGTGGCCCGAGTGGGGTGATCCCAGGCCCCACCTTCTCCCGCTCTTTGGGTGGGTGGAGTGGGGGCCTAGCGAGAGGCCTTGTCCGTCTTTCCTGGCTCCCAGCTCCCGCTTGGTCTGCAGCGTTGAGACGGGCCCTCCAGAGAGGCTGGTCCTGCCGCCGGCCCCCATCGCGGGAGCCTGGGCTCTGTGTGCTCAGCACTTTCTGCCTTCCTGAGGGCTCAAAGCCCAGGGAGAGTGGGGCAGAGCCAGGGCTGCTCCCACCCAGGGAAGGAAGGCTCCTAGCCCTGGAGGAAGCCCTTCCGGAGTCCCTCGTCCCTACCGTGGGCCCCCCCTACGGTGGAAAGGCCACGAGAAGTAGCTCAGCTGGCCGCCACCCAGAAAGCCATGCTTTTCATACCCAGAAGCCTAGCCCTGGCTTTCAGCTCCCTTCTCCTCAGGACGGCTGTGGAGTCACCCTCCCTTGCAGCCCTCGGCGGAGCCCACACTGTGCCCCACTCTGCCGTCAGAGGCCCAAGTGCTCATGGCAGGTCTGGGTAGGGGACGTGGGCTCAAAGTTAGACGCGTCCCTGGAGATGAGATGGGTTCCTCCGGCGCGGTGCAGGTCTTGCTGCCAGCCCAGGCCAGCACCTTCTCCACCCCCGCCCCTCCCAGGAGAATGGCACGGTGAAGAAGGCCATCGCCCAAATGACGCAGAGCCTGCTGCTGTCCCTGGCTGCCCGGAGCCAGCTTCAGGAGCTGCGTGAGAAGCTCCGCTCACCGGCCATGGACAAAGGGCCCATCCTCAAGGCCAAGCCGCCAGCCGCGCAGAAGGACATCCTGGGCGTGTGCTGTGACCCCCTGGTGTTGGCCCAGCAGCTGACTCACATCGAGCTGGTTAGTGCTGCAGTGCGCCCTTCCCAGAATGGGCTGGGGCGTGTTCACTGATGCTCACGCTGGCACCTTCCCAACATGACACCACAGGGCCTTCCCCTGCCGGCCGGACCGGGGTGTCGGGAAGCCTGCTTGGCAGCCCCAAGTGCTGCCTCTGGCGGCTGTGTGTCCACCTGAGCAGAGGGTTTCTTGGTACCTGGGTCCTCAGGATCACGGCAGCCCCATGTTAACGGGAGGGGCTGGGGCGATGGGGACTGCAGTGGCCTCAGGATGGAAGAGCGGCTTGGGAAGAGGTGAAGGGTTTCAAGGGGGACGGCTCTCCCCGCCCCGTCCCCTCATCCTGCTTGTGCCCGGGCTGGGCAGGGGCCCTGCACATAGCAGCCGCTGCTGAGGCTCTCGCCTCCCAGGGGAGGGCCTTCCAGACCCTGGGGTACACCTGGGGGGCCTGCCCACTGTCTGGGTGCTCTGAACGAGGAGGGGCCGTGGCTGAGGGGCACGCCTGCAGGGAGGTCGTGACTGCTGCTCTGACACGCCCTCCATGCTGCGTGTGGGGCCTGCCTGAGGGTGGCAGGCTTGTCACTCCTCCTGGGCTGTCTCCCCGTTCCATCCAGGAGAGGGTCAGCAGCATCCACCCTGAGGACCTGATGCAGATCGTCAGCCACATGGACTCTCGGGACAAGCATAGGGTGAGGGGCTGCGGCGTGCTCCAGGGTGGCCGGGGAAGGGTGCGGGGGCCTCGCCCAGACGCCTGAGCGCCTCTGGAGTGTCGGGCCTCACAACCTGACGATGCACGTAGGTCTGGCCTTGCAGCACCTGCCCCACAGCTCAGTGGACAGCCACGCAGGGTGCTGCATGCTGCCGGGGAGCCCTGGAGGGCCGGGCGGGGGCATCCTGGGAGACCCGGGCGGGCCCAGGGGGCCAGTCCAAAAGCCCACCCCCTCCTCCTCTGGCCACAGCTCCTTCTGAGGGCTCTGAGGGTGGGGCTGGGGCGGCAGCTACGGGCAGGGTCCTCGGGCTCCCTGTGACCTGCTGTGTCCCCACAGTGCCGAGGAGACCTGATTAAGACCTACAGCCTGGAGGCCTACGACAACTGGTTCAACTGCCTCAGCATGCTGGTGGCCACCGAGGTGTGCCGGGTAAGTGCCGTGCGGCACACACAGCAGCAGGGCCAGCCTCATCTCCTCCTGACCCCACCGTGCCGCCTGGGGCTCTGACCCCTGTACCCCACAGGGGACGGAACTTTGCAAGTGGAGATAGGAAGTTTTTATTGCCAGGGCCTTGGGAGCGCCAAACCCCAACAGTAATGCCTTAAATTACAACAGAGACCCATCCGGGGAGGCAGCCTGTGCCCAGCATGGCCTGTCAGCTCATCTGGGTCTCCCTTGGTCCTCTCAGACTACCCTCCCGTCTCTCTGCCCAGCATCGAAAATGCCACGGCTGCATTTCCTGCCTCTGCAGCCTGTGAGAATCCCTCCACCCCCGGCCTGACAGCTCTGAGGGCCCAGGGCAGCTCCCTGCTGGGGAGGCCCCTCCGTAGGCCCAGGGCACTGCACTTTGGGGGCTGGTGTGGTAGGGGATGACCCCTGGTGGGGACCGCGCTGAGCAGTCTGGCTGCCCTCCAGGTGGTGAAGAAGAAGCATCGGACTCGCATGCTGGAGTTCTTCATCGATGTGGCCCGAGAGTGCTTCAACATCGGGAACTTCAACTCCATGATGGCCATCATCTGTGAGTGTGCGGGCCCCAGGGGCTCCCCCTCCAGCACGGTGTGGCCCATCTCCTCCCGCCCTGACCCTAGCTGTCGTCCCCCCTGCAGCTGGCATGAACCTCAGTCCTGTGGCAAGGCTGAAGAAAACCTGGTCCAAAGTCAAGACGGCCAAGTTCGACGTCTTAGAGGTAGGCACCCTGTCTTGTCCCGAGTCAGCCTGAGGAGGGCTGGGCGTCCCATCACGCTCTGGCCCCTTGCTGAGGGCCTGCTGCCCCGAGTGCCGTCTGATGTTGGGTGTGTCCGCTGACCTGGCCGCGGCGCCCCCAGAAGGCAGGTAGCCCATGCTCTCCTCGGCCCTTGGGCCTTGAGTCAGAACTGGCATCGCCTAAAGCAAAGCTTGGGGGAAAGATCAGCAAGGAGTTTGTCGGCAAAAGCAGGCCGACAGCCCCAGGTTGGGCAGTGCCGACCAAGCAGAGACTGGCCTTTTTCTTGTTCGACTTCCATGGTCTTGGACCGTCTGGGGGGCCCAGGGGCTGAGAGGCGAGTCTACAGCCTTGACCAGATGTATTTGATCAGAGAATCCAGTTTTTGCAAGTGTGTGTCTTGTGGAGCTGGTCAGGTTTGGGAGGTGTCTGTGAAAGCACAAGGGCAAAGGAAGGTTTTGAAAGGAAGGAGGGGAGACCCAGACTTAGCAGGGCAGGGAGGAGGTGTGTGTGAGCTTCAAGATTTCTCTACAGCTTGCCCCGTGACGCCTGGACCCAAAGCCAGAAAGCCCCAGCCCAGTGTTCAGACACGTGCCTCTGGGCTTCCTTCCCCTGTGCTCACTCCTGGAGAGGCGGCCTCTTCTGGTGACGGTACAGGGCCACCCTGAGCTGTTTCCTGTAAAGGGGCCTCCTGAGCAGCTCTGAGGGGAGCAGTGCCCACCATATCCTCCCGTCTGCCCACAGCACCACATGGACCCATCCAGCAACTTCTGCAACTACCGCACAGCCCTGCAGGGGGCCACACAGAGATCCCAGATGGCCAATAGCAGCCGGGAGAAGATCGTCATCCCTGTGTTCAACCTCTTCGTTAAGGACATCTACTTCCTGCACAAAATCCACACCAACCACCTGCCCAATGGACACATTAACTTCAAGGTCAGCTCAGCCCCCTTGTGGTCTGAGGGGAGGGGGCCAGGCTGTCCCAGCACAGGGTAGGGCAGACTTCCTGGCCTTGCTTTAGGACAGGCAGGCCGAGGCCCTGTGGCAGAAGGGCCTTTTAGGACTGAAGGCTCCAGGGTGGGTCATGGGTGCCGTGACCTCAAGGTATGAGGGTGGCCCCAGTTCTGGGTGGATGATCTGGTTACAGTGCTAGGAGCCCGAGGGCCCCAGAGTGAGATCCTGGGGTGTTCTGGTTGGTGGGGCTGTGCTGGGTGTGGCTGGGACGCCTGCCTCAGCCTGGAGTGACAGATGAGGGGCTTCTTGGGGGTCATGCACAGCAGAAGCACAGACCTGGCTGCAGCCTGGTGGCTCAGGCGGAGGGCAGGACTGAATGGCCTTGGAGACACCGGCTGGCCCTGTTGTACAGAGTACTTCCACGGCTACGGAGTCAGCTTTGTAGGGCCACCGTCCAGTCTTTCTGGGACCAGGGAAATGATCAGCTGACCAAAGCCAGAGCCTACGTCCCCTGCCCTAACCAGGGTTTTCAAGCTTAAGGTGACAAATGAACATCCAGTTGGTCTTCTGCCCCTTCAGAAATTTTGGGACATCTCCAGACAGATCCATGAGTTCATGACATGGACACAGGTAGAGTGTCCCTTCGAGAAGGACAAGAAGATTCAGAGTTACCTGCTGACGGCTCCCATCTACAGCGAGGAAGGTGAGGTCCACCTCTGCACACTGTAGAGGTCACCCTGACTCGGGCAGGGTGCCCTTCCAGGGTTGTTATTCCCATGCTACGCTGGAGAAGCTCAGCTCACGGGTGAGTGCATGAGGGTGGGCCATGGATAAGGACAAGAAAAGATCAGGCTCCCGAGGCCACTTGAGAGAGCCAGTACGTGGTTGGGCCAGTGCTGCAGAACCAGGAAACGTCTGAGTCCCCAGGCAGGTTGCCAGGAACCCCATGCAGCAGAGGCCTGTGGACCAGCCGAGGCCCGAAGTTGCTGCCCCCTTGGTTTAGGAGTTCGTTCCCGGGCCTCGCTCCACCCTGGGAGGGAGAGTTTGAGAAGGGATAACCGGGGTGGGAGGCAGACTGACCGGGTGTGGACATGGCTTCTGCGGGGCTTCTCGTCTCTCAGCTCTCTTCATCGCCTCCTTCGAAAGTGAAGGTCCCGAGAACCACATGGAAAAGGACAGCTGGAAGACCCTCAGGTAGGAGAACTCCAGCAGCAGTCCGGTGAGCCCCCAAGACCAGCCCCATACCAGAGTCTACAAGGAAGGGAAAGGATGGGGTGGGGGTAGGCATGATGGGTCTGCCCTTTAGAAAGGCGGCCGAGGGCACCTCTCCGCAGACCGGGGAGAGGAAGGCATCCCCGGTACAGGCTGAGGACTTGGGGTTTGAACGTCCCTGACCCCTCCCTCAATGGGCGGTTCTAGGCAGCCGGGCCTTCCCCTAGTAGCACAAGCCTGCCCTCTGCTTGCTCAGGGGAAGGGCCTGCCCGCCTGACCACTTCCTCGTTCCCTGCTCACCTTTAGGACCACTCTCCTTAACAGAGCCTGAAGGCACGGATGCAGCCTGCACACGCTGGGATTAAGCACACCTACGTACTGAGTTTTAATCTCGAGTGATAATGGGCTGAGATGAGGCCTCACTGGTTGGGGTCCATTTTGTACATAACTTTTATGAAAAAAAAGAAGTAATTATTTCATGCATCAACCTTTGGCACTTAAAGCTTTTTGTTTATGACAGGGCAGGGCCCTGCTTTGGGGAGGGGTGGGGAAAGAGTATCATGGGAGATGGCATCCATGATAACATCTTATTCTAATGAAATGTAGATTTTTATTTTCTACTTTTGATTATTAACAAACATCTTACAAAAAAATACTTAAAAAAACCCAACCAAAACCAACGTGAGCCCTGCCTCCTTTCCAGCCAGTGTCTCTGATGTCGGGGTGAGTGCCTTAGAGGGTTCTGGCAGGCCCGCTCTCGCCTGCAGCCAGTGCCGCTGGAGGCACCGGGGAAGCTCTGCCCTCAAAGCGCAGGCCCACAAGGTTCTGGCAAGAAGGGCTCGGGTGGCCCGGAGGTCTCATTTGCGTACTTCCAGAAGTGAACCTTGAATACGGGCTTTCCAAAGTTTACATTTTCATTTTCCTTTATCAGGGATTTATGGGGGTTGGGGGGAGGGCAGGGGGACACCTGGCAGCATATTTTCTGTTGGAAGATGTCTGGCAAATTGTTCTTCACCTACATTTTAGGAAAAGAGAAAATCTAAAATAACGTAAGGAGGGAGTCATGGAATTGTCCGTTTTCCAGGCTGTAACTTTGACACACTTACTTAGCTGTAATGAAGCGAATACAAAGTACAATTAAGGATGGGGACGTATAAAGCCATCTTGAAACTCAAGTACAAAGTCAAAAGAAGCAACTTACAAATCAGTATCCTCCTTCCCTCTGGGTGGGGGATTGGGCTCCCCTAACGGAATGTGAAACATGGAAGGTTAGCCAGGCCAGTACCTGCTGGAGCCCACTCACGTAAAGCTGCCCAACATTTGGAGGTATTTTCCACACCCGAACTCGAGGAGTACTCTCCATTTTCTGACTTCCCGGCCATGAGACAGTGACAGCCCTGCTCCCTCCAAGGCCAGAAATGGGCAATCCATGCTAACTGTATCTCCCTCATGGCGGGGCTGTCATTCCATCCAAGCAGATTTGGAACTACTCACCCTGTTTCTCTCCACATGGCTGGCTTCCGCCGGAGCCTCCAGCTGGCAGGCCTGGGTAAGGACAGTTAGTTGCTAATTCCCAAAACTCCTAGGAGAGCCTGGAGATGTGAAGGCGAGGCCTCAGGGGGAGGTGGCTCCATGATCCGCTGCTGATGTCGCCCTCAGCCCAGGGTGGAGCAAGGATATTTACACTGTATTGTCACAGTGTTTTTGCACTTTCCAGACGTTCTAGATAGTACATATTGTATATTGACAGTACATATTGCTTTGTTTATGTATTTGAGATAAAGAAAGGTTTAAAACTTGAGAATATATATTTGGAATACAATGTTAGAACCTTTTCTGTCCATGTGTTAAGGAGCTTTCACATCAGTGTGCGCTTCACTTGGTCATCAGTTCTAGTACCGACCTGACACAGTGCTACATTTGCTACTTTATTTTCCCAATTTGACACATACCCTATGATGTTTTGATATTTCGAGATGAACTCTGCGTATAAAGCTGTACTTTATAATAATAAAGGATGTCAACTGTTGGTGTGACTGGACGTACTTGCATCAATAAAAGAACATGTTGCTCCCCTCGTGTGCCTGTTCTCTGTGCGTGGTTCTGTGTTGGCAGGAGGCGTGGGGATGCCCAGGCCAGGGGGGGAGGATGAGACTGCCAGGGCCACCACGGGCCTTTCAGAGATGGAGCAAGCAGCTCTCACCTCCACATTCTGACAAAGGGCTTTGCAAATAAACATTGCAAAACAAAACAAAGCTGTATAAGAGGCATGGTCTCTGCTGCTTTCCTCAAAGAAAGATCCAGAAGGATATCACTAGCAGCTGGAATTACATGGTCATGTCAGTTCAGGAAGCCTACCTTAAACGACTCTCAAGGTTCCTTTACTGTAGGGACTAACAAGAACCTTCAGTGTCCACGGGTGCTGTGGGTCTCTCCGGGGGCTGGGGACGTTGGGGAGTGCCTGCCGACGTCTTTCTGCTGCGCGGTTCTCCTTCCGTTTCAATGGGTCACGCTCAGGAGCACTAAATAAAAGGGATTTGTGGAGGGGCACACGAGAGCTTGTGGCACTGAAGGAAAAGAACTGAGACACTGCTCTTCTCTGGCCTGTCTCCCACTGCCACCCTGTCACCAGTGCCCAGGCTGGATGAGGTCTGCCCACGACAGTTCGCCAGACCTGGCTCTGCTCCTCCAGGGCCAACTCAGCCCGTTCGAGCAGCAGCGCCCAGCGGAACACCTTCTGTGCTGAAGGGGTATTCTGTACTGCATCACCCAGTACAGTGCTGCTAGATACACAGAGGGACTGACCCCTGAACCGTGGCCAGTGTGACTGAAGAACAGAACTTCTAACCTTACGTACGTTTAAATAGCTAGTAGACAGAAGGTGAGGCCTGCGGGGCCTCATCACCTGCTGCTGCTCCACGTGCCTTGCGGAGTAACAGCACACAGTAGGTGCTCAGGTGTTTGTGGAGCAAACTAGGACCCCTGTGAGGATGCCTAAGTGACTTCTGGGTAAGTGACAACACTTTTTAGGTCCTTCCATGTAAGGGCCTCCTTACTTTCTTGGTAAAGTTACTTTTGCAAGTTTCTACCTACCTCAGCTAAAGAAGGAGCAGCACATCATCTGGTCTGCATCTTGGATGCGGAGCTGGGAGCAGGACGCGAGCTGGCTTGGCTTGGCACGGCCCTGTCCTTCACCCATGGGTGGTCCCTCCAGGCAGTGCTTCTCAAGGTGTGGGTCCCAGCCTGGCAGCAGCAGCAACACTGGGAACTTGTCTGAGATGTTCTCAGGGCCCCTGCGCAGACCTGCTGAATGGGAAACATGGGAGCGGGGAGCCCAGGCAAGTTGGAGAAGCTCTCCTAGTGGGTAGGGTTCTGCAGGACATGGCTCCTGCCCACCTCTCCCAGGGGCACGCTGCTGCTCGGGCACTAGACTCACATGCTGTGCACGTGCACCTTCTCCAGTACACTTGCCACCCCGTTCTCCCACACACGTTCTCTGAGCCTCCTTACATCTTCCTGGTGAGTGGCGCTCGTGCTCCTCCGGCCTTGCCCCACCATCCACACCACATACTGCCGGCATCCGTCTCACGCACTAGGGCCTCAGCTCTTTCTGTGTAGAAGCCTCTTGGCGTGTAGCTGTGTGGCCAGCGACCAGCGCAGTGTGCAGCTCCTAACGCCATGGGATGACTGAGGGTTACCACCTTTCACTTTACACACAGTTTCAGGGGCAAACCTGTTAAAAGCATCAGATGTGACAGGAAGATAAGCTAAGAATCTCTACTAAGGCCACAGAGACTTCTGTGACAAAACTAAGATTTTTATACACCTATTATACCTACACATTTGTAAAACGTGTCACGTTCCTCGGGGAGGCAAGACAGGGTAAGTGGAAGAGCAAGGAATCGAGAGCTAAACTCTTTGGATTTGAGTCCTAGTTTCCAGTTCCCAGCTGGGTACCCTTGGACAAGTTGTCTGCCTTTTTAAGCCTCCATTTTTCCCATGATTAAAATGGAATTACAATACTCTTGATCTCATGGGTTGTTGTAATGTTATATGGCAGAAAGCGCAATGCCTCCTGCATTAGAAGTGGTGTTAGCTGTGTACCAGCAGTGGCACGCCTGATGAAACTGAATGCCACTTCTCCCACAGAGAGAGGAATCTTCTGGGAAAAGTGAAGCAAAGGATTATTAAGTGCCCTGCTCAAAGGAACAACTCAAGTCCTGGTCAATACAAATATATTCTAACATTACCAAAGAATCATTTAAGTGTCAAATATAACCAACATATAAACATATATGAGAAGAGGGCTTCCCCTGGTGGCACAGTGATTGAGAATCTCCCTGTCAATGCAGGGGACATGGGTTCAAGGCCTGGTCTGGGAAGATCCCACATGCCGCAGAGCAACTAAGCCTGTACGCCACAGCTACTGAAGCCTGCGTGCCCAGAGCCTGTGCTCCACAAGAGAAGCCACCGCAATGAGAAGCCCGTGCACCGCAACGAAGAGTAGCCCCCGCTCGCCGCAACTAGAGAGAAAGCCCGTGCATAGCAATGAAGATCCAACGCAGCCAAAAATAAAAATAAATTAAAAAAAAACAAACATAAAATCTTAAAAAAAAATAGAAGAAATTCACACGAAGTTGGGATTCAAAACTACTTTCTAAATGAAAAACTTACTATCCACCTATAGGCTGGTAACCTTAGATCATGCCAATATAATTTCTATCTTTATTCTCAAAAAGGCATTCATGATACTAGGAGGAAGGTGGAGGGCTGCTGCTCAAACCCCACACGCTTCTATCTCAGCATACCCAGGACTCTCAGGTATGGATCTTCAGCAACAATGTTAAGGGGACAATGTTGTCAAGAATATAAGAAAGTTTAAGTTAAGCACCTGTTCATTTCTGGCAGCATGAAAGACTAAGTGCTTGCCTACTGAAATTGACTAATAAACTTATGCAAAACTTTAACATCCAAGTGAGAAACCCAGAGCTTCACTTTCCAATCCACAAGGGAGATAGAGAAGGAAGTCCAGAACTTGCTCAAGAAGAAGGGTCAAATAGGAGACCCAAGCCCATAAAGCTGACATCCCAAAAAGCCACCCCTCAGTGTAACAGTGAACTTGAAATAAAGCACTCCTACTCCAACCCCACCGAGGGGGTTAAGGAAGATTGCCTGATTTGAACCTCGGCACTGAATGGAGATGGGGAAAATTTGCCCCTGATAATTTATAACCACAAGTCAGTGAGTTTTACAAAGTTTTGCAGCACAAATCACACTGGTCAAAAAAACTTTAAGCTGAGAATTTAGTTTAACATGGCCCTGAACTGGTACTGTCCTTAAGTTACTCAGCAGAAGCAAACATTCTAACCTATACTCTAGTTTTCAAAGTCTCTCCTTAGCTGTGTCTAATATTCTGTTAAACCCACCTATTGGATTTTAAAAATTCATTTTCATTTCTAGACGCTCTATTTGGTTCTTTTCCAAATCCATTTGGACAAAATTCTGTATAAATTACCAGAATGTAACACAGAGAGACAAAGATTGGAAAATATGAAACAGGTTTAACGTATGTTATCAGAGTTACAGAAGGAAAGAGAGAGAGAACAAGGCAGAGACAATGAAAATGAAATAGCTGAGAATCTTCCAGAATTGACAAAAGACAATCCAAGAAGCCCAAAGATTCTGAAGCAGGATAAAAAACAAAAAACAAAAACAAAATCTGCACACAGACATATCACAGTGATACAAAACAGAGATAAAGAAGAGGTTTTAAAGACAGCTGGAGAAAAAGAAGGTTGATTACCTTCAAAGGCATTATCAACTGTTAAGCTGATAGCTTACTTCACAACAGAAATAACTGAAGGCAGAAGACAGTGGAATAATAACATCAATGTGCTGTGGAATTAAAGAAACCTGAGCTAGAGTCAGAGTTGGGACAGGCCTGGAGGGGGAGTTCTCATACCTAGCTACACATCACCAATTACAGAGAGAGCAAACATCTCCATCACAGAAAGGTGTTGCCCGCTTTACCACCAACCAGGAAGAAGAAAACTTCTCTCCCCTGAGCACAGGCCAGCCAGTCAGAGACTACAGAAGCCCACCAATGAGAAGCCTCCATACTTTGAACTCCCAGCTTCCTCCAATGGACCCTTGGGTTAATACAGTCCCTCCCAATTCCCCCTTTTACCTTAGAGAAGCAAGTTTCCTTTCCTTGCTCTCTGATTTGCCTACGGTCCACCGTAGTTCACATACCCAGAATTGCAATTCCTCTGGCTATTCCCGAATAAACTCGCTTTTCCTGGTAAAATAACTGATTGTAGTATTAAAGTTGACAGTGCTAAAAGATTTCTCAACCTAGAATTCTCAAAACTTCAAAAAATATTTCTTAAATGAGATAAAGATATTTATACACTAAAATGGAATTTGCTATCAGACCTTCACTAAAAGAAATGCTAAAGGATGAATCTTGACTCCTACTGCATATACTATATAAAAATTATTTCTATATGAATCATAGATCTAAATATGAAAGGCAATACAATAAAGCATTTAAAAGAAAACATGAATGTTTCTTCTTTACTTTGGAGTAGGAAAGGTTTTTAAAACTGGACACCAAAACCACTAGCCATAAAAGAAAGAAAACCGATCAACTGGACTTTATTAAAACTAAGAACTTTTGCTTATTAACAGATAACATTAAGAGAATGAAGAACAGTCCCCTGCCTGGGAGAAGATATTTGCAATATATAAATCTGACAAAAGACTCATATCCAGAATATATAAGTAACTCCTACACATCAATTTTAAAAAAAGCCAATTAAAGAAAAAGGGCAAAAAAATGGAATAGGCATTTCACAAACAAGATATCCAAATGGCCAATAAGCACATGAAAAGATACTCAACATCATTTCCCTGATGATAAACTACACTAAACTCAAAAGGAGATAATTGTACACACCCAACAGAAATTAAAGAGTCTGAATTAAAAACACTGAAAATACTGTGCTGGGGAGAATGTGAAGCAACTGGGTCTCTCATATGTGGCTGGCAGGGGGTCAGTTATTTGGAAGGACTGAGAAAAATTTGCCAACACCTGGCAAGACTATTCAAGAAAAAAGAAAAGCACAAATAAACAGTATCAGGAATGAGAAAGAAGCTATCACTATAGATCACATACATATTACACAGATAACAAGAGGAAATGGCAAACAACTTTGTACATTTCATCTAAAATTTCAAATTTATCAGGATAAATTCCTAGAAAACAGCACCTTACCTAAAAGAACTCAATCGAAACTGACTAGAAGAAACAGAAAATCTGAACAGTTCCACAATCATTAAATAAATTGAACCAGTGATCAGCGATCTTAGTATATAGAAAAGTTCAGGCCCAGGTGGCTTTCAGGAAGTTTTGTCAAATATTCAAGGAAGAAATAATTACAGTCTTACAAAACTTTTCTAGAAACAGAGTACAAAGGAACACCTGTAACTTATTTTATAAGCTAGTAAAACCTTAATAGAAAAGCCCAAGGGTGAGAAAGGAAGTATATACACAGGCAATCTTACTCATGAACACAGATGAAAAACACCTGAAAAAAGTACATATATAATATACACCCACACACACAAATATGTAAATAAATATGTTTGTGTATGCATGCAAACCAAAGCCAGCAATGTATAAGGATAATATAACATATCATGACAGATTGGCACTGACCCCAAGAATGCAAGGGTACTTCAGACAATTAACCTAATTCATCAATTTAACATATTAAAGATGGGAAAATATCATATAATTATCTCAAAAGATATAGTAAAAACATTTGATAAATGCTCTCAAGCATGATAAAAACTTGCCAAGTAATAATAGAAGGTAACTTTATTAACTTAATAAAGGGTATTTATAAAAACACCTATAGCAAATACCATACTTACTGATGAAACACTGAGAATGTCTCCCTTGAAATAAGAAATATGGGCAGGAAGTCCTCTACTATCACTCCAGTCAACACTGCACAACAAATCCTAACAAGCACAGTAAGACAAGAAAAATAAAGATATAAAAATTGATAAGAAACAAAACTTCTACTACTCATAGATAACAGAAAAATGCGAAAGAAACTAGAAATACATTACAATTGTGCTCAGCAAGGCAACTGAACACAAAAATTAACACACAAAAATCAGTCTGATTTCTAAATACCAGCAATAGACAATAAAAATAAATAAAAGATAGTTACAATGGCATAAAAAATACAAACTACCTAGAAAAAAATCTAAAAAAATAATACACGAGAATCCACTGTGTGAAAAAGTATAAAACTTAATTGAAAGACAATAAAGACCAAAATAGATAATGTCATGTTCAAGGATCAGATAAAGATGTACATTTTCCCCAAAGTGACCTTATAGATTCAATGAGATTCTAATAAAAATTCACAAGTTTTCATTAAAGTTAACAAGCTTATTCTAAAACTTATATGAAAGTACAAAGGCTGCAAACAGCCATGACAATCTTCAAGAACAAGGTGAGCGGATTAATTCTCAGAAATTATCAACTCCTATAATGTTACAGTAATATTAGACTGTGATGTGATAACGTGGTGAGAGACAGCCTAATCTGCTGAACAGATGAGAGCTCAGGAGCAGACCTGTGTGTGTATGACATCTGATGGATGAGAGTGGTTTTGCAGATCTGTGGGCAAAATATGGACTTCATAGTAAGGCGACGCTGGAAAAAAGTGAAATGCAATCCTTACGTCACATAATACATAAAACCTCTTCCACTTTTATGACTGGGAAAAAGCAAAGCTACGTATGAGGTATTTAGAAGATAATACAGAACAATAGCTTTAGGATACCCTTCTCTATTATGAGGTCATAAATCAGTAATAAAAAGAAAACATAAAGGAAAAAGATTAATTGAACACATTAAAGTTAATTTTTATTCATCAAAAAGTACCATCAACAATGGGAAAAGACAAGCCACATCCTGGGAGAAGTTACTTGTAAACATTTAACCAACAAGAATTGGTACCCAGAATATGTGAAGAATTCCTATGAACTTATAATAATGGGCAAAAAGACTGGAAATGAAAATTATAATTACAATTCATGCCTAAAGCCCACTAGATTAGCAAGAATTAATAAGCCTGACAAAATTAAGTATTGCCAAGGATGCAAAGTGAATCTCTTACAGTGCTGGAGGTGGTCCACTTCGGAAAGTAAGTTGAACGTACACACAACCGATGACTTAGCATCATTACTCCTAGAGAAATTCTCACACACTCCTAAGAGACACGCACAGCAGTATTCATGACAACATTGCTTGTGATAGCAAAAGCAAATAAGCAAACAAAAAAAAAAATGATGAATGATCCAAATATCTATCAACAGTAGAATAATACTACAGTATTTTCATTCAGTGGAATACTAGTCAGTAATGAAAATGAATTAATTTTGAGATTAACATGAGTGAACCTCAAAAACAAAATACTGAAAGTTAGAGTATAATGAAATAATATGCATACAAATTCAAAACAGGCAAAATAGTCATTGGGTAGAGATACATACATAGTTGGGAAAACTGTGAAGAAAAATGAGTGAAAAACTATCACAAAAATCAGGATAGTGACTATTATGCAGAGAGTGAGGTGAGGGTATGTGATCGAGAAAGGGCACACAGAGACTTTTCACTGGTAATGTTCTATATCCTAATCTGAATAGCTGGTGCACTAGCGTTGGCTTTATTATTCTTTAAAGTACACATTTACATGTCATACACTTCTGTATTTATGATATTTTACAACAGAAAGAAACTAACTTATCACATTTTCATTTAACTTTCGGTAATAAAATACTTTATTGGTACCTTTTACTGTCAAAAACAGAGTAATGTTTCCATTGCTTAGCTTCCATCTTTAAATGAAAAGCTTTTTTTTTTTTTAAAAAAGGAAAAAAATCATTTGATTCTGTCAAAAAAACAGCTACAACTCACTTTTGTAAATAATTAGGTTCTCTCACTTTAAATACCTTAATTCACTGGTCTTCACAATAAATAACTGTATATAAAAGGAGAAAATGGCCTGAACAATTTTGCAGAGAACATTTTACACATCTTAAAAAACTAAGCCTAAATGCTACCCCAACTAAAAACTTGTAAGAATATTTAGTAAGAGTTATTATAAAATTGAATTCATGTAGCACCAAGAAATTTGGGATTTATAATATTTCAGATGATATGATTTACTGAGAAAGAAGAGTAATGATTTGTCTTCTATGAATTTTCAGGGGTTTCTATACAAATAGAAAGAATTCAATATAGGTCCCTTTTAAAAGCCAAAGGTTCAAAAATCTATGCATGCCTTTCACCATATCTCCAATTTGTGGATCTAGCAATTGACCATATGGTAAAAGATCCATGTGTGATAAATAACACAGTACAGTCATATCTGAATATAATTTCTTACTCATCTTGTCTCCTTAATATAATTTACACCTCAATTAAAACATCATTCTATCTGCAAGTTATATATTTCTCTAAAATATTCTGTAATTCAGATTTCCATTTAGACAAACTTCCCCTCCTCCCCTTTTCTCAAATCAGTATGATCTTATGGTATACCTTATTAAATTGTTTGGTTTTTCTTCCTTCAGTGAAACTCCTCCTCAACTCAAAGTATTATAATAACACAGATGTAGCTTAATTAACATATTAGAAAAAAAGGATAATACATACATATGGATCCATGCTAAATAAGACAATACAAAGCCAAAAACACACGACACCATGCTATGTTCATCTATTCTGAACCACCACAAGAAGGCCCTGATAGGGCCCTGGCTCATGTAAACTGATGTCCCAGACACCCCTAGTGTCCTACACTCCAGCATAATTAACTGTTCTGTTAAAGACGTTTCCATGTTCATTTCTGTTTGTTCAAAACAGTCTACAGCAACTTTGACTCCTAATCCTGAACATGATGCTAAATTTGTAACACATTATATTTTTAATCAAGCCACAGATTATAACCTTAGTATTTTCTACAATTACCCATTTGTTTAAAAACAGACATTGAGGGGGCTAGGCAACAACACAAAGTTGAGGGATTTTTGTCTCTGCCTTCTCTTGATTAGTTGGGGATTTTAGATGTGTCATTTAATTATTCTCTGCTTCAGTGAAAAAGGATCCTTTAAGCAACTGCCCAAAGATCTTAATTTAAAACCAAGTAGGTTGACTCAGTGGTCGGTAGGTGAAGAGCCCTTACCCACACACTCCATCCATAACACTCCGTCCTCTCTTTGGGAACAGGATGCTCCCGACCCACCTTCAGCACAACACATTCCATCCCTCAGCCCAGACGCAACCAGGATACACATCAGAACATGAAGCCGGGTAAAATTAACTCAAAGCTACTCTTAGAACAAATACCAGATTTTGATTTGTCAATGATTCCATAGTGAAGTATACTCACAAAACAGAGACTTTGCATTGCAAAACTTGCTTTTTCTTCTCACACTAAGTTAAATTGCTAAAGTAATGTCAGCAAGAACACAAAAGATAAGCATGTCTTCTCTGAAAGAGGCACTGCATCTGGAATTGGAATTAAGGCTAAATAGTGCTGGTTTGTGGTTCAGACTAATGTGTCACTGATGACATTAACCAACAGATTCGCTATTTGTCCTGTATGCCTGTTTGTGAAGATGCGTCTCTATTTCCTCCCTGAAGACCAGCATTCCCAGGTGCGAGTGAGAGGCCTCGTTCATGGCTTTGGACTGGATGCACATGCGGTACTGCTCGGGTGTCAACTCATCAGCACAGCGTTTCTCGTGCCAGAGGTGGAAAAGACCAGGAACCGGAGTCCGAATCACAATCAAGTCACCATGTAAGTATTTTCGATAAAGATGAACATCTTCTCCACCCCAACCTTTTACTTCCATATCAAATCCACCTGCAGGATCAAAACTCACACTGTTAAATAACTGCCTGGCAGCCAGAGCACAGTCAAACCTGATAAACATTTAAACATTCTGCTTCAAATGAGATGGCACGGTATAATCCAAAGACACCCGAAGTAGAGGACTGACATCCTGGTTTAGAAATCCAGTTACCAGCTGACGTCTAGAAGCTCACAATCTGTTGTTGCGAGTATCAAAATGAGATCAAACATTTGAGAATACTTTGTAAACTTCAGAGTTCTATAGAAAACCTCTAGAAAGTCAAATAAAGGAGAAGGAAACATAAATCGCCCACAATATCACCACCATTAATGTTTTATTATGTTTTCTTTCTATCCTTTGAGATCCAAGTTCTTCTGGGTCACAGAAAACTTTCCAGAGGGGAAAACAGAAGAAATGGCCAAGGTGGACACATAAAGTTGAGAATGGGCACACAGATGATTTAAAGCCATGGAAGTGGGTGAAATTACTAGAGTTTACAGGGAAAACAGGGCCCAGGTCTAAATGCTAAGAAATGTCAATATCTAGAGGGTAAACAGGCAGAGAAAGACAAGTCAGCAAAAGAGACTGAGAGGCGGCCCCAGAAGAAGGAGAAAATTCTGGAGAATGTGCTATCACAGTAGTGAAGTGAGGAAAGCATCCTGAGAAAGAAATGGTCAAGTGTGTGCTGCTCAATTAAGAACTTAAAGAGAATCAAGTAGACCTGGCAATGTAAATGTCACTTAGAGCCTTACTTAGAGCAAGGGAGATAGAGTTCACACTATTTTCAAATTGGTTTAAGCTGAACTAACTTTAAAGAAGCATGGAGAATACAAACTATTTTGAGTTTTTTGAAAAGCTAGAAAAGATTCTTAAAATTGGAGAAAAAAATTAATTCTTTAATTAAAAGCTAGGTTTCCAAATTATGTCTCTTGTCAAATAATTCTATGTCACTTAATTTCACTCTCATAGGATGACAATAATCCTGAGATCTCTGAAAAATATTACTTTAAATAGTCACAGCTTTACTAAATGCTATGTCTGATTATATCTTGGCTTTTCTTCCTTGTAGATACGAATAAGCTCCTCAAATATTGGAGATGGTATAAAAATAAACAGAGGACTTCCGGTTTCTGGTCCAGCATGTACAGACCTTAGAAGTCATCACTCCATCCTGACAACAAGTAAAAAGTTGAACAAACTGAAAACTCAACAACTCCTTTCAGATCCCTTGGAGAAATAAAGTCACAGGGCAAACTGTGAAGACACAGATAGGTGGGTAAGACAGAATCACAGCTATTAGGGAAGAAATGGACTAGTAGAAATCTCCAGGGGAACCAGTACTGGGGTAGGAAAATCTGAACTGTAATTGATGAATTGCTAGAGGCTCAGTGGAAAAGTCTAAGAGTTGAAAATTCCAGAGAGGCCTGCACACTTTTCTGAGTTTTACCTCTAGGTCTACCAGGTTCTCACAGTGAAGACTGGAGAAAAATCCCCTAGCGCTTTCAGAAGGAGGGGGAAAGTAACCATTCTGAAATATGCCAGGGCATTTTGTTCTTCTTAATAAGGCCTGTGTTTAGGAAAAACTATTTTACCAGAGTCTAACCTATCTGGGGGAAGGGATATACCCAACTCCAGCCCACTCTAGCCATCCTGTCCCACTTAAGATTGGGGGCTGTGTCTGTGAAACGATTGTGAAGTTCATGGTCCAGGCTCACTAAAGATGGACTGAGACCTTATCATAGGACTACAGAATTCTTCCTCTTCTCCCACACCTTACCATCACTAAAGGCCTAGTTACTGCAGCTTCCTTTACCCAGTACATCATGTTCAGCTATGAGGAAAAAAATTAGGCAAACTAAAAATCAAAAAACAGTTTGAAGTGAGACAGGCTGGGACCCGGGACCCTTTGCTGCAGTGCTGCAGTGCTTACACCTGGACACACCTCTTCTCGAAGCAACAAAATACAAAGAAACCGTATGGGACGAAAAATAACTGCATGAATGCGCAGTTGGGGCAAATTATGGATAGAAAGATACAAAAGATCGAAAAACCCAACTGCCACTTCTAAAGAGCCTGGAGCAAAAACTGGGTGTCAGGAGCAAAAGCAGGGAACTGCGCACGCCCCCTGCACTCAACCCCACCAAGGGGTGGGCAGACCATCTAAGCCACCCCTCTGCTCCGACCCCTGGACACATGCCTACCCCCACCCCGTATAAGGAACAAGCTCGCCCTGCCTCAGCGAGTGAGCAAGCAAGGGAACCTGTCGTTTGTTCTCACTCCCCGGCTGCTGCAGCAGGGGCCCCAATAAAGCCTTGCATGAATTTCTTGTCCGGCCTCTAGTCAACTTCTATTGATTGGGGAAGGCTAAGAACCCTGGTCAGTATCAGAGAGAAAGAGCAAACATCAGAACCAGACTCAGATATGGCAGGGATGCTGGAACTAAAGGACTGTGAATTTAAAATGACTATAATTAATATGCTAAGTGCTCTAATGGAAAAAGCAGACAACATGCAAGAACAGGTGGTTAATGTAAGCAGAGAGATAGAGATCCTAAGAAAGAATCACAAAGAAATGCTAAAGATAAAAAGCAATGTAACAGAAATGAAGAATACCTTTGAGGGGCTCACTAGTAGACTGGACTTGGCTGAGGAAAGAATCTCTGAACTTGAGAACAGGTGAATAGAGACTTCTAAGACTGAAAAGCAAAGAGAAACAAGACTGGGGGCGGGGGGTGGGGAAGGGAAGAAAAGAAAACACAGAACAGAATATCCAAGAACTATGGGACAACTACAAAAGGTGTAACATATGCATAATGGGAATACCAGAAGGACAGGAAAGAGGGACAAGAACAGAAGCTCCAAATGAAAGAGGCTAAACTGCAAACAAGTGCTGCTGAGAGGGCAGGGGCTCCCTTTCTCACCCAGCCCACATTCATAGGGTAGAGGCTCTCCAAGAGGGAGTAGTCCCTTCTGCTGCCACCTAATGTCCTGCTCATAAAGCAGGGGTGTCCCTCTGAGAGAAGTGTGCCACTATCTCCACCCCCAGGTCTGGAGCAGAGGCTCAGGGGAAGCAGCAGTCCATAAGAACAAATGCTCCAGAGCTTTTCCCAAAGGAACTGACTTTATTTAAAAGAGAATGTGCAGAAGTTCAGGCCTAAGGGGGCTCTTGAAAATACTGGAGATTTGGTGGTAAACAATTAAGAGGAGGCTGGTAGCCCCATTAGAACAAGCTAAAATGTAGGCCAGCCAGTTTACCAGAACGAGGCAGGCAAAGAGACAGCTAAGGCAGGGAGACATCAGGCCATGTGCACAGCCCTCCTTGGGTCCAAGCAAACCTCAAAAACTTGCCCCAAAAACTACCCTGCAAAAGGGTTCGATTTAATTGGTTCAGACTACGGAGCAATTTATGTCCCAGAGCACTGTCAAATCAGAGCAAATTAGTGCAGCCTAATAGGTAGGAGTGGCATCAACAGGCATGGAAAGAGACAGTCAAAGAGAGCCCCGCTAAATCCAACGTCATCCCAGGATGGCTGTGCATCATGCCCTGATGAGAGACATGAGAAGCTTCATATTGTTGGGAGGCAGAGGGTAGGGAGACAGAATTCACTAAAATAGTAAAGCCAAGTCAATTAATAAATGAATAAGCAAAGTCAAAACAAAATACAAGCCCTGGAGGCAGGGGGAGTCAATATCTAGAATCAACACAAAATATTATCTAAAACGTCCAGTTTTCAAAAAAGTATTGAAAGAATACTGAAAAGTGTGACCCGTATACCAAAAGAAAAGCCCGCAACAGAAACTGCCTGTGAGAGCGCCCGGATGTCAGTTTTAGCAGATTTCAAAACAACCATTATAAATATGTTCGAAGAATTAAAAGAAATCATGCTTAAAGAAGTAACAAAGTAAGATGACAACGTCTCATCAAGAAGAGAATATTAATAAAGAGATAGAAATGAGATTCTAGAGTTAAAAAGCACAATAACTCAAATGAAAAATTCACTAGAGCAGCTCAACAGTAGATCTGAACTAACAAAAGAAGAATCAGTGAACCTGAAGATAGATCAATTGAGATTATGCAATACAAAGAGGAAAAGAATGAAGAAAAATGAACAGTCTCAGAGAAATGTGGGACACCATTAAGTGCTCCAACATGTATCTAATAGAAATACAAGGAAAAAACAATGAGAAAGGAGCAGTGAGAAATAACAGAGGTCAGAAGGCAGTGATGTATCCTTACTATTTTATTAAGCAAGAAATCAGGGAAAAAGGTATTAGTCTCACGTAATAGTCTTTTTTATTACTATTTGCTGATTTTCCATCATTTGTTACAGAGATAAAAAGACAAGGTGGAGGACTTCCCTGCTGGCACAGTGGTTAAGAATCCACCTGCCAATGCAGGGGACATGGGTTCAAGCCCTGATCAAGATCCCACATGCCGTGGAGCAACTAAGCCCGTGTGCCTCAACTACTGAGCCCGTGTGCTGCAACTACTGAAGCCTGCACGTCTAGAGCCCGTGCTCTGCAACAAGAGAATCCACCACAATGAGAAGCCTGTGCACCGCAACGAAGAGTAGCCCCTCCTCGCTGCAACTAGAGAAAGCCCACGCACAGCAACGAGGACCCAACATGGCCAAAAAAAAAAAAAAAAAAGACAAGGTATAGGAATTTCCAAAACAAATGGCTGATTATAAAAATGAAGGTACGATGGACCTAAAAAATACACAAAATATATTCTATTAAAAAATATATATACCATGTATTCTAACACGCTGTGGAAAGGTAGTCCCTGAATGAATCAGGAGACATGGAATGAATGAATCAGGTTTCAGCCTGCTTCCTTAAACTAAGCTCTGATACTTTAATTTTTGCTGGGTGAGACTAAAGGTACAGTGGGGCAGGTAGCTTAGATGAGATCCTTCATGGTTAGCTTTGGTTTAGGAGAGTGGATAACTAAGCCAGTGATTCCAAGTTCCCCACTCCAACTTCAACGAGAGCTAGAAAGATTCGGTGTTTTCCCATTTGTTTTAAATACTAGGATTTTGCATTATGTTCAAGAAATCCGTGGTTTCCTCTCCAAGTAAAAAATATGAAAGCTCTTGGACTAGATAACCCAACATTATTTCTAGCTGTAACAATTCATGAGTACACCACCAAAGCCAGGTACAGATCTTTTGTAAGGGTACTCGAAACAACTGCAAATATGGGTATTTTATTTTATCATTATGACCTCATTTTTCTATTCAAAGACACTAATTATAAGCTCACTTTGCCTTTCATATTTCCAGACTCTTCAGCTAATCTCAGACATTCAAAATTTAATAGGAAAACATTTACATCTGAGACCTTTTAGAAAAATGCCATATTACAGTATATACCTAAAGTCCTATCCTTAAATGTAAGGTATACTTACCAATGGTCAGGAAATCTGATCGATACTGACAAGTCATTCCAAAGCCAAAATCTCGCCAAAAGCCAGAATCCTTTTTGTGAACCTTAAGTTTAAAAAACAAAATTCAATTTAATCCCTCAAAAACTAGAAGTAGTTTCAATCAACAATGAAACAAATTAAAATATTTTCCAAATAATACTTTTTCCTGGCATTTATGTGACTGATAATGGATCAGATGCCTTTATATTACTAAATCCTTACAAAACCAACAAAAATACAGTAATCCCCATGAGCATAGGATTCTTGCTACTTCTTTTTTGTTGTTTTGTTTTGTTTTATGAATTTTGTTTTACTTTTTTTATACAGCAGGTTCTTATTAGTTATCTATTTCATACAAATTAGTATGTGTATGTCAATCCTAATCTCCCAATTTATCCCACCACCACCGCCCCACCCCCTACCCTGCTGTCCCCACTTGGTGCCCATACTTTTGTTCTCTACTTTCAATTTAATTTGTTCAAACCTTGTAGAAGGTGCAAGCTGAGGTTACTAACAATCAAAGAATTTGATGCCTGACCTCAGGGGGCTTACATTCTGTTTAAGGAGGACACCAGTTGCACAAGCACATACCGTAATACACTGATCACTTCTACACAGTAGACCTTATTTGGTGCCTGGCCAGCATCCATTCCCCTACCGCTTTCCTAACTGTGTACAGTTTTGCTCTGGTACTTACCTGGCCCCATGCAGCCCGTGAGTTTCAGGGACGCTCCTTCCACTGGCAGCGTCAGACTAGGCCGTGAGCATGCTACACCAGTGAGACGGTCTCACCCTACTCACTTAGGAACTGATTAGGCATTAGACAAAGTTCAGGTCAACATGCTAAAACAGGAGGGCTACTGGGAACTTTGGAAAACAAAGCTCCCTCATTCTTCTGAGAGCTACTAGAAAAGACACTTGCTCTCTTTGGATGGTGTAGGGCAGGAGTAAGCAACTACCACCTGGCTTTGCAAATAACTGTATTGGAACAAAGTCACACTCATTTGTTTACAAATTGTCTATGGGTATTTTTGTGGTACAATGGCAGAGTTATTAAATAGTTGGAACAGGGACTGTATGGTCTGCAAAACCTAAAATATTTTCTATGTGGCTCTTTACAGAATAAGTGTGTCAACCCCTGGTGTAGGGTATAGATGAGAAGTTTGGAACTGCTGCAGTCCTTTCCCACCATGAGGGAAACCAGTTTTAAAATGGAGCAGTCACCACTGAAGTCCAAGCAGAGAAAGAAAAAGAAAATCAGAGCTTTGATGACACTGTACCTGCAGAATGAAGTAAAAGTTGAAGCTTGATAAACCTCCTTTTAAAATTCATACATTCAACAAGTGTTTAATCTGTTGGACTTGGTTTTGGGAGCTGGGACCCAGCAGGGAACAGAGGTGACAAAATCCCTGCTACCACAGAGCCTCCGTTTTGATGGGAAAATAACCAATAAATAAATATAGGTCTCAGGTGGTGACACATGCTGGAAAGAAAGATGCCGTAGGCTAAAAAGAGAGCAAGACAGAAAGCCTATTTTAGATATAATGGCCACAAAAGGCCTCTTTGAGGAGGTAACGTTTGAGCAGGGACCCTACTGAAATCAGGGAGTGGGCTATGCAAATATGTGGAGATCATTCCAGAAGCATGTACAATGGCTCTGAGGGAGGAGCTCACTTGGAGTGTTTGAGAAACAGTAAAGAAACAACTGTGGCAATAGCTCAGAAAACAAGGGCAAGAAGAATGAGGCCCCAGGTCAAGAAACAGCTATTACATTTTCCAAACATAAGTGGCAATGATCTAGAAGAGGCAAAATGTTAGGACAGGAGAGAGTGAAGAATGGCTGAGGGGCGCCCTTGTTTAGGCATGAGGGATGAGCTCCATGTAGTTCACTACAAAAGGACGAGCTGGCCTTAGGAAGGAATGTGGCAGTTCCCCCACTGGGACTGGAGAGGCTGAGAATGGGATACAGAGCCAGTGAGGCCGATGGATCTCATGACAGGAGAATAAGGAAGTGAACATCCGACTGCTTCTCTTTTCTAAATGAAACACATACGTGGAGAGTGAGGAGTGGTGAGGGCTGCTGGGAGGCGTGAGAAGGATAGTGTGGCGGGCTTGGAGGACAAAGAGTGGGTGGACTAGGGTAAGGCACAGGATTTCAGGGCAGTCTGGGACTCCTGAGGCCTGTGGTCACCTTTAAAGCTATGCTGTGTAGTGGGACTGTGTGTCTCTCACTCTCCACATTCTGCTGCTCTGGGGCCAGGTTGACAGAGTTGTCCTTAACCAGGTTAGGGTTCTAAGAGAAAACACTGGAAGGAGTGAGGGATGAAGGAGGTGAGTGTATGGCAAAAAAGAGGCTGTGGATAACAGCTGACCATGGAATCTGAGTTGGGTAAGGAGGGAAATGAGGATATGGATGTGAGGAGGGTGACAGAGAGGAGAGAGACAGGCACCTCACCCAACCTGCAGCATTCTGAGACAGCTTCCTCCAAGAAATGAAGTTAGAGCTGGGATCTGAGAGATAAGTAGGAGTTAGTTAAGTGAAAGATGTGCTGGGAGAAAGTTCCAGGCAAAGGAACAGTTTACGCAAAGGCCTGTGATGGAAGAGAGCACTGTGGGTGAAAGATGGTGGGACTAAACACTGGGGTCAGAAGTAGAGGTGCCCATAAATGTGGAGCAGGGCTCAGGAAACTTTTATAGAGAACTGGACAGTAAATATTTTAGGCTCTGCAGAACATAGAATCTCCGTCTCAACTACTCAACTCTGTCACTGTAGTGTGAAAGCAGTCATTAACAAGTAAATAATCAAATGAACATGTTGTGTTCCAAAAAACTTTAAGGCCACTGAAATTTGAATTTCATATAATTTTCATGTGCCATGAAATATTATCCTTTTAAAAATACTTTTCAACCATTCTTAACTCATGGGCCATTCAAAACTAGGCAGCAGGCCAGATCTGGCCTGCAGGCCACAGACTGCTGACCCCTGGCCTAGAGGGATCAGCAGGGCCACATCAGAGAGAACTACGTGTGCCTGGTCACATGGTTTGGGCTTTATCCTAATGGTAATGGGGGTTCTCTGAAGAGTAGGAGCAAAAGGAGTAATGTGATCAGATGATGTTTTTGGAAGATCATTCTGGATGATAAGGGAGAAGAGATAAGGAGAGAGAAGAGGTAAGAAGGCAAGAATGGAGTCAGTGAGGCTGGTTAAGAGGCAACAGTTATAATCTGGGGATAAGAGGTTGGTGGTATAGACTGTCATGGTATGTCCAGAAAGAAAAAAAATTTGATGGATGTAGAAAAGATTTAGGACACAGAATTGACAGAAGTCAGCAAGTGACTCAATGGGCAGGAGCAGGGGATGAGACGGAAGGATCATCCAAGGATGACAGCAGACTGTTGTCCTGACAATGGGTATGTGACGGTACATCCCCCACAAGAGCAGGAGCACGGGGCTGGGGGCGGGGGAGGACCAGCCCAGAGATGGATGATGTGGAGCTAGGTTCTGCACACAATGAATTTCAGTGATCTGTAGGGCAACCACAGACTGGAAATTCTTGCAGATAGCAGGAATATAGGAATATACAGGTCTGTAGAGGAGGCAGCTTTTGAGAAGAGTGGGACAGTCTGAAAAAGCTGCTGTGCAGAATGGGAGAACCACTCTGGAAAACAGAATGAACCAGGCAGTACTGAGGACTTGGCTCAAGTAGGAGCTAATAAATGAAATACAAATTTTCCTTTAACATTTGGTGGGGGGCGGAAGGCTTCTTCCTGAGGGCAGGACTTTTTGTTAATTTTGCTCGCTATTAATTTTGCTCACTGCTATATCCCTAGTACCTAGAACAATGCAAGGCACAGGATAGGCTTTCAATAAATACTTGTTAAATGAATAAATAAATTTATAGAGGCATAAGTTTTGTGGCAAAACCAAGAGTGGGCTCTAATATTCTTATCTCCTTTGTCAAAAATATATAATATATATAATCCTGGTGCAAAGTATTAAAACATCCACTCTGACATTTCTACCCCAGGCCAATTCTGATTTTATAAATATTATGACTTCATTTATAACTTTAGTTTCTTTAAAAATTCTTCAAATATTATCAGACTTGGGGAAAAGAGTCATTGGTTTTGTTTGATTTTTAAATCAGCACATTTTCACTGAGGAAAAGTAGAAGGAAACTCATATTGTCTACAATCCCTGATTGTTAATATTTTATTGCATTTTACTCTTTCTCCTAAGCATGTGGGAGATGCAGCGATCCACACATAACCTACATCTCCAGCCCTCAGCTGCTCACAGACGGCAGGTCCACGAATCCCCCTGGCAACTTGGCATTTTCCCTTGGATGTCTGATAACCAACACACACCTACCATGCTCAAATTGAAGTCCTGATCTCTCCTCTTGCCACTCCTGTCTTTCCCTCACTCTCCACATCTAATCTACCAGCAAGCTCTGTCAGTTCTGTTTCTAAATCATAGCCAAACCTTTCTCCACAATCACCATCCTCACCCAAGCCACAGCACCGCCCCTGGTCTACTGCAAAAGCCTAACTGGCTACTTGCAGCTAGAGCCACACACAATCCATTCTCCAAAGAACCAAAACTCCCAAGGTTTTCTATCACACTTACATAAAATTCAAACCCCTTACAGGGGTATAGCAAGCTCTACATGACCTGGCCCAGCTCTGTGCCCGCTCGCCCCCTGTGCTCCAGCCACCTTAGGAAATCTACTAGCTGTCTTTCTGCCTGGCACTGCCTTCCCCAGTCACTGTGTAGCAGGTTCCTTCCTTTCATTCGGAAGCCCCTCCAACAGCCCCATCTCAGAGAGGCCTTTCTGACCCAACGCAACACAGATACCACCTAATCACTCTTCACAACGCAGCCTGTTTTAATGATCTGCATGGTATGTGTTAATTGATTTTATTTTCTGTCTTTTCCTACCAGACTAAAGATTCTTGTGAACAACAATCACGTCTGTATGGTTCTACGTGCTGGGGTTACAGTGGTGAATAATGGCTGGCACAGAATGGACGTTCACTATTTGATGAATTAATATAACAGAG